TATATATATATATATCTCTATTTATAATATATATAATTTTTAATTGATGTCTAAAAAAAAATCCTTTCATTTTCTTAAAAGATATTACATAGATGTCAGATATTTAATTTGATAAAGACAATTTTCAAGAGAGTGCATAAATCTCATTATATCTTTGCCACATAAGTGTATATTATCATTATAGTATTGTTTATAATTATATTATATTAAATGACTGCATTTTTCTTAAATATGCATGAGATGGTGTAAGCATCTTTGCTTTGCGATAATGATAATAGCTATTATTTTTCTACAAGTGTGATAATTGAAAAATTAACAAATATTAATGTTATACTAACTATTTGTGTTGTGGCAATAATGCGAATTGTCATATGCACCAAATTGTAGAGTAAATTGTAGAGTATTACAAATTTTATCATTAAAAAAGGATTAAATACAAGGCTACATATACATACACATATATGAAATATGTGTATGTGTGTCTTGGAATATTTTTATTAACATTAATTTAACAATTTTGTGACATAATGTCGCTTTATATATAAATTATATTACCATTATCTAGCCATATTAGATTTATAATTGGTTCATGATAGGAACTGTATCAGACACAAGGGACAGACAGAGAGAAAGAGAATATATACAAACATTTAAATTTATTACAATCTATACATTTAAATTTATTACTGATGTTGTTGTATTTTAATAAAAATTGCTATTCTATGCAAATTGTGTTTTTGTATTGTTGCATTAGTTTTTTGTAACCTTATCTCTCATCTGTTATCTGTCTCCTGTACCGTTCCTGATCAACTCTTTTGATGCATATGTGCAATATACAGGATGCTAAACAAAATCTGTTCAAATGCACAATCATTTGAGAAATGCAATATTATATTTACAATATAATGTATATAACAAGTATTTCTCTTTTGCATGTATTTTTTCTATTGAAGTATAAATATGTAGCATATTAATGAAAAATTTTTCACATAATGTTATATTATAATCGATCTAATATTTATCAAAATAGAATGAAATATGAAAGTTATGAAAAATATTATTTTATTGAAATTTTATTATTTTTGATATTTTATTGTATTAATTTATTATATCTTATAACAAAAACGAAGTTTTAACATATATGTATGTATATCATATTTACATTACAGGTGTGACAGGTGTGACAGAGGTAGCAAATGAGTCGATTGATACCATGGTACCCGATACAAAAGAGGAGTTTGAGCAATTTGGCACAATACTTTCGCAAAAAATTAATCAATTTAACAAACACGCAGAATTTCCAGCATTTGCAGAAGAGCTTATAAAATCCATTGCTCTTAATTGTTAGTATATCTTTATTAATAGCTGATATTTTAAAAAAACATTTGGGATATGATATTATTTTTATCACAATAAGCTGGAATACCAGCATTTTATATTCGAACAATGTTTATTTCAGTATCGTCACATTACTTGAAAAAGGTGAAAACTATAGTTGACAACTTTGTTATCGAAAAGCAAAAGATGGAAAAGGGCGAAAAGGCCAAAAAGAGTAAGGGAAAAGGAAAGGCCAAGCTCAAAATCGAGGGCGACAACACCTTGTTAAGCGAATATGGTGATTATGTATATGATGAATACGACGATTTTATGTAGCGACTTTTCACATATTCATACATTCTAGTCGCCTAAATAAACGCAGAGAAATATTAATTTGCAGATTTATACAGAAACTTTATATTTGTATTTTCTGCATATTGAATTGTAACCAAAATGTACAACAGAAAAACAGTTTAAACTATAATCCATGGTACCGTTTACACCTAAAAAGATAAAGAAATAGAAATGAAAACTAGTATATTATCGACGAAAATGCTTAAAAGCAAACACTTCAATAACTATAGTGGTGATATATACTCGTAGTTACTTGGAACAGAGTTAAACGTTTTTATGATTTACATGTTGAGTTTTATCGGATTTTTATTCATGTGTCATTCATTTATTAAATTTTCAATTTAATTTATATTAATATATATTAATATCAATAATCATATTTTTAACATTAAAACTGAAAATGTTGTATGTAATATTTGCGCAACTCTAACTATTCCTCAATTGTGAATCTATTAACATTAAGTAGAGCGGAAAGGGTGAAATTACATTCATATCTTTGGGTTGTATTCGTATCCTGTAAACTGTTAAGAAGGAAAACTCGTCTTTATATAGTTGCGTCATTGCAAATTGAATTCTGTAATTACACACAGTATGGAAATTTTATATATAACACAGCTTATACATACTTACATATATATACCCATACACACATACCTTTATTGAAGATCAATTACAAGTTGGTTTTGAAAAGAGTATATTCCTAAATAAAGGTTGATTATAAATTACTCCTTTTTTTCTCTCTTTTTTTTTTAAACTATTCATACTAGTTGATACAACTATATTCGCTGCAAGGCGACAGATTCGTATTATCATAATATACATAATATAGGAGAGTCCCATATTAAAAAAAAATGTTTACATGATAAAAAAAAAAAAAATCGTCTCAAGTGCTAGGCGAAAAACATTCGTTTCTTGTGATACGCTTTTAACTTAACAATATATATGTCATGAAAATAAACGATAATATTTCACGCAAATATATATAATATTTAAACTTTCATTTTTTGTTTACACATGCGTTTTTAGCCCTTTTGAAAGTTGACAGTGAAATGAAGTAAATGATAATGAAGTAAATGAAAAATGATTCTTGTAGTTTCCTCAGAATTATCGAATTGTTTGAACACATAACCTATATATGTGCTGTTCAAAGATAATGAGAATTGGTGATTGATACATGCAATTATAAAGAAAATCAAATTTCTTTTTTAATTTTTATCTGATTAGTATTGTGTGCAATTACACAAGATGCACGGTTTTATGATGTAGATAGTGGTTTGCTCGATTTTGATAGTTTAAAAAAAGAAAGATTTAGAAGTCTCCAAGATGAATGTTTAATTTAATTTTTAGCATTTTGTGTGATCTGTTTTGATTATATTCAGTAACAATATTCAGGTCAATTTAGGAAATGGCGTTGCGTTTATTATTTCACAATGTAAATAGAGCGTTTTGTCACACTAGCTCAAAACATATTGCCAGTTCTAATTCAGGTATGAAAGAATCGAATGAAAGTGTTCCAAAGGATTGGAAAATAGAATTATATAACACTATGAAAGTTCTTCCGGATTTTATTAGCGAGGAAGAGGAGGATATCCTGATACAGGAGGTTGATCCTTACATGAAACGATTACGTTATGAATATTCGCATTGGGATAATGTTAGTGAAATGAGATTGATTAACACTATATATATAGAAATATTTAATTTTAATTTCTTGGATATCTTGTATTTTGATTTGTCTTTTGTAGGCGATACATGGTTATAGAGAGACAGAATGGAAAAAGTGGAGCAAGGATAATTCCCAAATTCTTGACAGAGTTCGTAAGAAAGCATTCCCACCTGAAATGACGCAGCTCTCCCTTGTACATATATTAGATTTAGCCTCCGAAGGATGGATAAAACCACATATCGACAGCGTCAGGGTAATAAAAGATTATCTTTATTTTCTTTAAAACTTTTCTTTAAATGTCTACATATATTTCTGTTAAAATATTTTACAGTTCTGTGGGGGCATTATTGCAGGATTAAGTTTGTTGACTGACAGTGTGATGAAATTGACAATGGAAGGACATGAGAAAGAATGCGTCGAGTGTTTCTTGCTACCAAGGAGATCGTTATATATTATGAGGTTCTCCCTCTCTCTCAATTTATTATATTTTGTTCATTATTATCAAGTATTTATAAGTATATTTTCATATATTTTAGCGGTGTTGCGAGATACAAGTACAATCACGAAATCCTCAAATCTGAGGAATCATATTTCGAGGGACGACATGTACCAAAAAGTAGACGTATCTCTATAATATGCAGAAGCGAACCTGATCCTGAAATTAGTGGAAACTCAGCTATATAATTAAGAAATCTCACTGCGAAGATATCTGTAAATATCTGAAATTTAATCAGAGCAAGAGAACTTAAATAAAATATGTTATTTAAAATGAACACACAAAGTATATTGAAATAGGAATTAACATTAATCTATGTTATTAGCGTCTAATTATATTTCGCAATGTATCGAAACTTTTATTGAACATTTCTCTTACATACATACATACAATTCAAAAGAGATCTCCGAAGCGTCGTTCGAAATTGCCGCCAAAATATGGCCGTCGATAGTTCTCGCTCGGGACGACAGAGGCGCTGCTGGACGCGGGGTCGAAATCAGCAGCATGGCGACCGTCTACGAGCGCCTGTCGATGGCGGGGGCCGTCGTACGAAACATGGCGTCCGTTAGGTTATTGCTATGAGCGCTGCTCCGTTTTCCATCGTTAAATGTGGCATCGGACATACGCGAGCTGCGGGCTGACGCGGTGCGTCGCGTCCACGGGGCCTCGGAGCGTGTCTGCTTGAATCCCACTTGAGTCAGCTGCTCGCTCGACAGGAGCGACCTGGGCGACGAAGGAACACGACAGCCCCGTCAACACAGAGTGGGCTTGTGGGTATACACACCCTGACGCGAGATCTGCCCGCGAGTGTGATTTCGTCGAGAGCGTGCCGCGGCCTCCGGAATCTCCGCGTCTCGGCGCCGAGTTGACCCGAGCGGGGAGCGTACCCCGTGATAAGACGTACGGGGACCCCCCCGCGCCGCCCCCCCGTGCGTCGCCGTTCGCGGACACGCGCCTCAGAATGCCGGTCCCGACGATCTCCCCGGTGATGAAATTGTTTTTGTGCGCGGGATGCTTTTAAGCGGGGAACGGCATCGTTTTTTCTAGTATAAATATCGTCGTTTTTTCCGATGGAAAGCGACGCGGTGGTGACGATAACGACTCGATTTCGCGCTCGCCGTTTTATTACCCGCGGTCGACGAGAGGATCCGGAGTGTTGTGAACTCGATGTGAACGCGAGCTGTGACGTGTGTTCCGCAGCATCCGGGACCGCGCGTTGTTGCCGAAGAAGATGCGTCTCGCGACAGAACGATAACATTTCTCAGTTGTTCTAAATCGTATCCGTGCTTACCTAGTTGCGGTAAGACAAGTAGAATAAATAGAAAGAGAAACGGGAAGTAGTAAGAGAGAATCGTAATCACGGTATCTTGTATTCCTGTGAACGAGGATATCCTCACGTGCGGTTAAAGAGAGGGAAAGAGGGTGTGATTTACGCTACAGAAGAGAGGAGCGAGGAGAGTGTCGAGCCATATGCCGCCAGCCGGGCTATCGGCGAGAGGCTTGTCTACCTTGATGGACCACGGACAACCGGACGCTCGTCATCGGAGCGAGCGTTTCCTACTCTATCCAGAGAATGGCTCCTCACATCCTCATAGTCCGAACACGGCCAATTCGTCGCCGCGATATCAGCACAATAGCAGAACTAATAGTCATACCACTAGGTAAACAAGAATACGTTCTCTCTCTCTTTCTCTCTCTCTGAAGTGTGACAAAATCTGTGTACCTCCAGTGATATATGTGTGCGATAAATTTTTCTTGCAGTTACGGATACATATATGGACGTACATCCAACAACAATATGTCGGATAGCAGTGTTTCTGATACGCATAGTGGTGGAACTGCAAGAACTGTCTCTCAACAGACTAGTCCCTCTCACGGCACACATTCCTCTTCTCAATCGCGACAAGACAACAGTACCATTATCTTCACAGCCCTTTTTGATTATGTTGCTCAGGGTGAAGACGAGTTATCCCTGCAGAGGGGGGAAACTGTTGAGGTGACTTTATTCCCAAATATTCCAGAATTATTTTATGTTAGGACACACAAATGTGATACAATTGTTATTTTTTACTATAGGTTTTATCTAAGGATGCAAAAATCTCAGGCGACGAGGGATGGTGGACTGGAAAAATTCGTGGAAAAGTTGGAATTTTTCCAGCCAATTTCGTCGCAGAGTCAGAAAGTATCGATCGAGTTTCGACGGTGATTGATAAAGTCCAACCTATTGAGATTGATTTTGAGGAGTTGCAACTGGAAGAAGTTATAGGAGTCGGAGGATTTGGAAAAGTATATAGGTATATAGGCTTCATTATTATATTTTAGAAATGTTTCATGGAAAAGATTCTGATATCCTGATTCAAAAATAATTTTGAGATATACAAATTTTTTTCAGTACATTTCTTTAATGAAATTGTATGTTTATTTTTAGGGGTATTTGGAAGAAACGCGAGGTAGCCGTGAAAGCTGCGCGCCAAGATGCAGGCGAGGAACCCAGTGTAACATTAGAAAATGTACGACAGGAAGCAAAGTTATTTTGGTTGTTAAAACATGAAAATATTGTGCAATTGGAAGGAGTGTGCTTAAAGATGCCTAATATGTGTCTTGTGATGGAGTATGCTCGTGGCGGCAGTCTTAATAGAGTCCTTAGTGGCAGGAAAATAAGGCCCAGTGTGTTAGTCGATTGGGCGATACAAATTGCTAGGGGCATGGATTATCTTCACAATAAGGCCCCTATAAGTCTTATTCACAGAGATCTAAAAAGTTCCAATGGTAAGATATTTTAATATTAATTGATAATGCGCGTACAGTAACAAGTTGTGTTACATTTTTACTCTGAATTGTTTTTTATGTTGACACAGTATTACTGAGTGAGCCAATTGAGAATGATGACTTCCAACACAAAACTCTGAAGATCACAGACTTTGGATTGGCGAGAGAAGTTTATAAAACGACTCGTATGTCGGCGGCTGGCACATATGCTTGGATGGCACCAGAAGTTATTAAAAAGAGTATCTTTAGTAAAGCCAGTGATGTATGGAGGTTAGTCTCTTTACATGTGTACTGTCAGCTTTATTATTATCTAAAGCATAAAAAAACTTTCTTTTTCTCACTTATTTATCTATTTGTTCTAATTTTTGTTAGAATATTTATAATATTTATTGATAGTTATGGCGTGCTGTTATGGGAACTTTTGACGGGGGAAACACCGTACAAGGGTATCGATGCTCTGGCTGTAGCATATGGTGTCGCCGTCAATAAGTTGACTTTACCTATACCATCTACTTGCCCTCAACCCTGGAGGGTCCTCATGGAAGGTAATATATTAACAATATGACAAGTATAATAGATTAACAATAAGAAAAAGATATTCTTTTCTCAAATGCTACAATGTCTTATCGAGCTGAACAATTATGATATTAAATATAATTGTTATACAGAATGTTGGGCATCAGATAGTCATGCTCGTCCTGGATTTGTGGATATTTTAACAGCTTTGGATGAGGTGTGCAATGCATTTGCGGCAACACCACACGAATCTTTTCACACGATGCAGGAAGATTGGAGGCTGGAAATCGAAGAAGTTCTGCACGGATTGCGCATGAAGGAAAAGGTATACATTATGTTAGCTATTATACAAGCTATTTACATATCGATAATTGGAATCATTTGATTAATCATGTCATTGTATTTTTTCAAATAATTTTATTCATATAAAATTTGATTTTTATATGTATATAAACATGTATAATAAATGAATAATGCTTACAATCGTTTTTAAATGCTTTACAAAGGCATGCCGTTCTTTAGAAGAGGTAAGACAAAACAAAAGAGTTTTAATTAAGAAATTAGTATTACAGAAAGTATTACATATCTGTTCTTTTTTATTTTTTATGCGTTGAATAAATTATTTTAAGTATGATAAAAACTCTGAGCACGTCTATGGTAATTAAATTTAGAAAATTAATTTGTTAACGTGTTTTTTAAATTTTATTTACAAGGAGCTGCGCTGTAGAGAAGAGGAACTCACGAAGGCACAAGTGCAACAGAGACAGCATGAGGAAAACTTGAGAATGCGAGAACAAGAATTGGCCGCGCGCGAGATAGATCTCTTGGAGCGGGAACTTACTGTAATGATCATACAACAGCAAAACACGCCTACACCGAACAAGAGACGCGGCAAATTTAAAAAGTCGCGATTAAGATTAAATAAGAAAGAACCTGGGAGCAACATTAGTGCACCATCAGGTATGAAAATTATTTATTCTTCCTACATTTTTATTGACTGTTACAATTGATATCGCGCAGCGCCGTAAATATCTCATAAACTTTATTGCGTTACTCTTGTATATAATAATTCTATCTTTTATTTAAAAACACACACACACACACACATACATTAGAAACAGTGTATCATATATTTGGATTAATGGTCGGGAACATATTGTTTAGATTTTCGTCACACCATCACCGTTCAGCACACTGCCTTAGATCGAGGCAAGGTGAGGAATCCGTCGAGACCTAACAGTCCACCAGGCTCACCCAGCATTCCGAGACTCAGAGCGATTGCATGTGAGTAGTTTTTTCACTATGAAATATCGCTTTCAGTAGTACCGTGATTATGACGATGTATTGTGCAATTTTGAGTGACTTTACGAGCAAATCATACGCATTAGAAATTGTAATTGGATAATTTGAGTGTTACACTGTTTGTATTCTGGTAGACACTTTGTACTTTTATTCGTATCGATACTTTTTTCGGCATGGTGTGCACAATTATTGTTATAAATTTCCTTTTCTTTTGTAAAAATCACAATTACTTTGAGCTAGAGTGTCTTATTATTGTACAAGTGTGTATATATACACATACACACACATAAATTGCTGAAATTACTGTGCACAATTATATTTTACATATACAGTCGCTTACTGAAGAGTATATCCGTAAAGAAGGTTTATCTTATCTACCCTACGTGCCGAATAAGCAAAGGAGAAGAGAAAAGTAGTTGGTATCGTAGTGAGTAGCATTCTGTTTCTTTTTCTTTCTCCGTTTAGTACCGGCGGATGGAGTTAAGGGTAAGACTTGGGGACCGTCGACGCTACATCAACGTGAACGCGGGGCTATTATCACCCAGCCGCCGAATCCCGCCTCTCCTGGCGGCAAACGCTGGTCCCGTTCCGCGCCAGATCTTGAAAAGACACCGCTGCGTACAGCCCTGTTGGCGAACGCGCATCGCTCCCCACTTCTACAGGAAATAGGTAACCCAACCACCAGAAAATTGTACTCCTCGGCCAATAATCTGATAGACAATCAGCCGGGTTGTAGTAGTAGTAGTAGTAGTTATAACGACATAACGCCGCAAAGTTCGTTCGACAACATCGTGCAAGGTATGCGCTATACACCCAACATAGACGAGGACTTCGTTATTCTGGACAACGACATATACGAGTCCGTGGTTCTGCATAATAAAAATCCCTCGCCGAACAATCATAAAACCCATTTTTCGGAGGAACCCGTAAAAAACGTAAAAGGATTATCGTCGGCAACCAACGATGATTACCCCGTAAAAACCGCGATAATAGGACAACGGGCGCCCATCAGTTGTCCGGTTGCTACATCGAAAACCACGTCATCCAAGTGCCACCAAAGGCCACCGCCCGAGTGGGAGCATTCGTGCTCCACGAATTTCGTGCAAAACGTAGCGTCCACTTTGGTGGGTACCGCGAAGCGAGTCAAGAGTAAGAAGCGCGATCGAAGCAAGTCGAAAGAGTCAAAACGTCGTGACAGTTCGGAATCGCGATTACAGTACCTAGCCGATTTCTTCCGAT